TCAGGCCCAGGAAGTGAATCTGCCCCGCGAGCACACAGCTCAGAAAGAGACACGTCCAGTAGAGCCTCCAGTGACAGTGCCTGCACAACAGCCTCGTAGCGGAAGCCTGATGCGGGAGACAGGTTGGGCTCCTGGCCGAGGGGAGCCCCGGTCTCGCTTCCTGTACTCACAGCACCTCTGACACCAAATGTGCCCGAGGCTCTGGGGACACCACTTGGGTGTCCGACAACTTAATTCAATCTGACATAGCCAGCATCAGCCAGACCACACTAGTTGGGGGTCAGTTCCACAAGACTGCCCTCCCCCACTCCAGACACCTCATGGCAGTAGTGGGATACGCGGTTCCTCAGACTTCCCTCGGGGTTGACTACTACTCAGAGCAGGCAGCGGGCCTCCCATCACCTCCTTGGGTTTGATAGTCTGCTAGAATGGCTCACAGACTGAGGGCAAAACTTAACATTTACCAGTTTAGCGTTACGGATACAATAAAGGATATAGATGAACTGCCAGACAGGGGATACAGGGTGAGGTCTAGAAGGATCCTAAGCACAAGCACTTCTGTCTCCAGAGTCAGGAAGCCTCACACACACCCAGCCAACCCCAAAACTCTGCACTGGCTGCATTCACCAACCCAGAAGCCCTCCAAACCCCAGAGTTAAGAAATTTCTATAAAAGCTTCATCACACAGACATGATCAACCATTAACTCAGGGTCCAGCCACCCCCACTTCCCTGGAGGACAGGAGTGGACCTGAAAATGGCAAGCTTCTCATCATGGCTTGGTCTTTGGGGTGACCAGTGTCCATCCTGAAGCTACCCAGGAATCCATCAAGACCTGCCTCCTACAATAACAGGAACCCACTGATCGGGATATTCCAAGGGTTTCAGGAGCTCTGTGCCAGGAATCACAAGGACGAAACATTAGAACAAAAGATGCTCCCAGCACCAGCACCACTACCAGGAAACGCCCTGGATTTTAGGAGCCTGTGCCGGGAACCGAGGGCAGAGGCGGAACCTGCTCTTTATGTTACACTGGCCCACAGAAAATGAATGCAACGTAATAAATACATTCAGCCACTAAGTTTGTGGCAATTGTTGCACAGAGACAGGTGACGCACATCTCAAATACACCTGACATTTGGAGCCCGGGGGGTGTATGCACAGCAGGGGATGGGAAATTGAGCAGCATGCGCAGCAGGAAGGGGGAGGCAAGAGCCGCGAAGGCGGAAGAAGAGAGGAGTGCTTGGGACACCGGCAGTGCAATCTGTGGGGCGCAGGTCAGTGTGGGCAGGTGCAGGGGCCTGGGGGGCCGGGGGGAGCCCGGTGGGCAAGGGCAGTCAGAGAGGCTCGTCGCTGACGTCTGCGAGAAGGTGCAGCTGACACTTGTTGCTTCAAGAGGCAACAGGCTTGCAAAATGGTTCGGAAAATGCCCATCACGGAATGCTGGGCTTTATCTTTTTTAAGGTGCTTGCCTTTCCATTACCTCATCTGATTTAGGCAAGAACTGTGAAGACGTCGAAGCAGGTATTTATTATGAAGGGAATTTCTCTTAACAAGTGAGGAAAATGAAACGCTGAGAGACGAGAATGACTGGCAAGAGTTGGCATTCCGATTTTTTTCCTACGAAGAGTCCTGCCACATTTTGTTGGACTCCCCTTCCTGGGTAGAGATGCGAATGGGGCCAGCCAGTGGGGGCTGGGGCCCGGGCCCAAGGGGCGTGTGTACAGGAGAGCAGGTGCGGAGTCAAGACAGCAGAGGCAGATATCGGGGGCCTTGGAACCAGGAGGGTCAAAACACGTGTCAGAGCCAAAGTCAAGTCAATCAAGTTCATACTCGATTGCTGCTTCCGGCCCAAGCAAATGAGTCAGAGCTGCGGGAACTGGCCAAATGGGGTCGGGTAACTGGGAGCAGAGAGGCTACTGTGCAGCTGAGTACACTTGGGGCTAGTGAAAGGCGGGTGGAGGGGGTATGGGGAGCATCGTTCCACTTAAAGGGATAGAGGAAAATCTGGCCTTTTTCAGTTGGGTGGTTTTTGCTGCTGTTGTTGTTGTTTTAAAGCAGTATCTGAAAACCAGGGACAATTTTCTATGATAAAACATTTAAAAGATCTGTTTTTAATGGTGGACATTCTATACCCGGAGCAGGACAGCTGTCAGCTCCCTCACCCCACCCAGAACCACATGAACCAGTTGTTTTCCAGGGGCTCAGCTGGAAGGTTCACGAGATTTTTGCAAATATCCAAAGGCTCTCACCACCACTACCCTGCCAGTCAAAGATCTCCCCCGGCATGTTGCTGCATGACTGCACACCCTCCGGCGAGGCTTCTCAAGGAGAATGGGCTCACTCAGAGTGAGTCAATGGCAATCGATGCCAGTAAGACCAATCCATAGGCCTGTTATGGTGTCATGGCAACGAAAGGGCCTTTATCAAAGGAGAACATACATGAAGAGTTCAGCCATCAGGTTAAACACTAAAATTACGGAAAAGCTTCATTACTCAAGTAAATAAGCCTGGCAAGTGCTGCCCAGCGCCATGAACTGGGGAGAGCTGCGTGCTTGGGCCCTCCCTTCTCAGAGTCTGCAGACCGAGGGCTGAGTTCACAGGCCTCAGGGCCCAGAACCCTTAGCGGGTGGATGACACTAACAGTGCCCTGTTTCCAGTTCGAAGAATACCAAACTGAACTCTTCGCTTTCAATCCATTCTTCCAAAACAACGATCCCATGCAAAACAGAAGGGGCCCTACTGAGTAAAGGCTGATGTTAAATAATTGCTACAATTAGTCTTTTTGAACGGAAATAATAATTTTTAACATCCTTCCACCCAGGAGGGCCATGGACATTCCTTCGTTTCTTGAAAATACCCTTCACTTCCTTCCTTTCGTTCTCTACACGTTGCTGTGGTCTTGGATGAGGCTCTCAAAATCTTCATCAGTTACTTTACAATCCCTCCCTTGCCCCTGGGTTTCCCGTACCCACCAGCTCATGCCTTGCTAACAGGCCGACGACAACTTCAGATAATTGCAATCACGAGCCCTCTACTTGATACTCTCGATTTCCTACGGCTCAGTGGATAATGTTCAGATCTTTCACCATCCCTCCTCTGGATCTCTGCTTCTATTGCCAATTGCCTGCTGGCTCTCACGACCTGAATGTCCCCCCAGTAACACAAAGTCCACATATGGCCAGAATCAGATCCACCGTCCTCTGATCCCTGGCGAACCTGTGCAGTTGCCGAACTAATTATCAAGTTACTCTCACTCGTGAAGGCTCTTGGGCCTTAATTCCACATCTGATCTGCGATTGAGCCTATCAATTCTAGTTCTGAAATATCGGGTTAACCCCTCCCTCCTCCTCCTGCATTCCAGCTGTCATTGCTCTCAGTCAGCCCCCCAGCGTCTCTGCCCTTACCTGGTCCCACCCACATTCCCCAGTTTCCCCCTCTCCATCAATCAGTCTGCTTTCCTTAACAACCCTGGATCAGTTCCCAGTGCCCAGATGTCTCCGCAGTCCCGGGTAAGAGCAGAACGTCACCACAGCCTGCTTTGCTGGCCTCCTCTCCAGACACCCCACTGCAGGAACCGCTCACTGCCACCCGACTCTGCAGGAGCCCTCCGCCCTGCTTATACCCAGGATAGTCTTCACCTGGTAAACCCGATGCATCCGCGAAGGCCCAGAGAACAAAGTCTGTCTTTGTCCCCTGCTTTCTCCTTCTTCCTTTCACCCTCTCCTCCTTCCCCCCAAGAGTCCCCCCTCCCTCGGCAAGTCGGCCTCTCTTCCCCATGTACATTGTCTGTGGTGCCAGAAGCCTCAGTTCACTAACATCTGTCTCTGGCCCACTCGGTGTGACATTTTAGTTCCAGAGTCCTCGAGCTGTGGAGACAAAATCTAACGGGTCACTCGCCAGGCACCATGTCAGAGCTCCTTCGGCCACCAGCCCACGTGGGCCTGGGAACAGGGCAGACGGTACCGACCATGTAGCAAAGGCAATTCCCACAGGTGGGGGCCAAGCCAGACCCAGAACATGTCTGTTACTGGTTCTTCTCTTCTACAGATTCATTCAACCTCTTTAGGCTACAGTTCACTCTCTGGTCATCTTTCTTTCCCAGCAACAGCATGATACCTGGCATGTCATTCCCTCTGTATCAGCTTGTGTGCTGTGGGCTCAGATGACAGAACTCTCACAAAGATGGGCTTATGCATCCAAGGAGACTCGCTGGTTCCTACAAGGGAAAGCCCCAAGGCCAGACAGGCTTCAGGGTCAGTGGACCCAATACCCACTAATGGCTGGAAGGACCCATATCTTTCCTGGTTCTCTACTTTTATGCACAACACTTAGCAAGTCACAGGTAGCAGCACCACTGGCAATTGGGGGAAATATATACCCATCAGGCAAGTACGAACATTCCAGAACTCCAAGCAAGAGTCACCCAGGGTAGAGTGCCTAGGTCATACATCCCGAGGAAGAGGAAACATCTGGAGCCCCAATCTCCAGCACAGAGGCCACGAACCACAGGCAGTTACTTAAAATGTGATTAAAATTATATACAACTAAAAATCCAGTTTTCCTTCACACTCGCCACATTTCATGTGCTCAACACGTGCTTGCTTCAGCAGCTCATATACTAAATGATCACGTGCTCTATCGCCGCATGTGGCTAGTGGCCGCAGTACCGCACAGTCCAGGTTAGAATGCTTCCATTGCTGCCAAAAGTTCTATTGGCATAAGGTACCCAAACGTACCAAGCAACCCACAAAAGGCAGCTGGGGTCAACGCTGCCTGAAGCGCCAGAGTTCTGGAGGAGCAGATGTCTAGCTGGAAATCTGAATGATTATAGGAGAGGGAAAAGCAACATGGGCACTTGTGGGCAATCGGCAATGCTCAACCTATTCCTATAGAGAGAAATTAAACTGATCCGGTAGGATTTGTGCTTCAAAGTTATGACCCATTTGTAGAAATTGTCTGTTATTATAAATACAAGGTGTTTTTCTTTTATGAACTCACTAACTTCCTGTGGGACACTGGACAAGCCAAGAAACTCCTCTGAGCCTCAGTTTCCTCGTCTGTAAAACAAAAGGAATGAACTAGATCAGTTGTTTCTAACCTTTTAATCAGATTTTAAAGCAGATTAAGTACTTTCTTTAAATTATTTGTTGCCAAGATCTCATACTTGAAGTACTTCTAGTAATTTAACTGCATCAAAAGTTGACTTGTTACCCTGTTGTGTCTTTTTTTTTTTTTTTAATCCAAAACATATACTTGCTAATTAGAGCTTCTGAAAGAATAGACAACACTGCATGGCTGGGCTGGTATCATTTGTACCAAAGGTAAAGTAAGGAGGCCTTGTAGTCTTGCTGGAAGCAAAAGCACTATTTCCATTTGGTGTCATGAATATTTAGAAGTAACAGAAGGTGCTCAGCTGGAGATAGGGTGGCCTATCAGGAAAGGTACGTGGTGCTGCAGGACCTGGTGCAGGCCCAGAGCAGTATGGTTCTATGACAATGTCATGTACACAGATGGGCCCCTGGCCTGGCCTGCAAAGCACCTGGGAGGGGGAAGAGCACGTGGCTGGGAGGAAAGATTCCAGAGGAGTCGACTGGAGTTTAGAGTGCAAGGGGCAGGAAAGAAGGAGAAAACAGCACCAGCACACAAAGAAGTTGATCTTCCCTTTCATTACCAGTAAGTCCCAGGAAAGTGGATGATTAAATCACCCAGGGAGCCAGGAGAAATGCTGGATGCCAAGCAAGAGACTCCAGAGCACTATATTGAAAGGCAAAGATGACTTCAGGGCCCTTCAACCCTCCATTCACCTCTCTAAGGAGAAAGGCAGCACGAAGAGTGCCTGACTAGTAGCCTGGGAAACACCTATTTCCAGATAACAGCACAAATAATGTTCATTACAGATTATTTCCTTTTATTTAAATTACTATTTCAATCATTTTGTATTAAAAGCACTAACAAGGCTGGCAGGATGGCCATTCCTAGGTGCCTTAGGGGATGGACTGGGGCAGAGTAGAGTCCACAAATTACTTGAAGTATTAAACAATGTTCTTAAACCCGAGCCTCCACGTCTGCAAGTGGGAGTAGTGAATCCATGATATGAAAAATGGGCAGAGAGGAGGTGAACTGGACAAGCTCCAGTTACAGTGCAGCAAAGAACAGATGTAATTATTATCATTTCAAGGCTTGTTATAATTCCTGTGATTTCCTATTTCTGTTAACCCTTCTAATAACCTTATATTTGATTTTTTTTAAATCCTTTAAAAAAAAAAACTCATATTCCTCAAACAGAGAATTATCACATGACCTGACAATTCTACTCCAAGGCATATACTCAAATAAGCAGAAGACAGAGACTTAGATAATTACACAGCAATGCTCATCTCAACATTATTCAGTACTCAGTCGCCAAAAGATTGGAACAACTCAAGACTCCCCAACGTGGACAGAGAAACAAATGTGGTAAATGCAATATAAGAGACTATTGCTTAGCGTAAGAAGGAACGGCATTCTGACATGTCATAACAAGCATGAACCTTGAAATAAGCCAGCATGAAAGGGAAAATATTGCATGATTCCTCTTACATCTAATATTGAGAACAAATTTATAGAGTGGAAGAAGCTCAGTGGTCATGGGGGGTGGAGCAGGGAGGTATTGCTTAATGGTTACAGAGTTTAGGATGATGAAAGGGTTTTGGAATAGATTGTACTTACGTAACAGTTGCACAGTATGAGTGTAATTAATTTAACTGAACTGTATACCTATTTTATATATTTTAGCACAAAAAAAATTTTTGTTACAGAGACTCTAGGGCTGGGGACAGTTTGTCAAACAAGACTGTTTTCAAGGAGGGAACCAGGGACAGAGAACAGGCAGGGCCCTGTTCAGGGGGTGCTCAGAATGGAGGGGTTCTCCAAGGAACTAACTAGATGACAATGTCTCTGAACTGCATTTCTGTCCAAACTTGAGTCATCAACTTCAACCTGCATTTCCCACCACACACGACCACTGCACATGTCTGAAAGAAACTCCTGGGTAAGAAAAGATAAAAGCAGAAGTTAAGTTATGTATAATAAATAAAAACAGTAGAAATCAATTTCTATTAAAATTAAATAGACAAGGCACTAGCTGGTATAATAAAACCTGAGGGGAAGAGTGGAAAGGAATTATGATCATAACTGCAGAGGAAATTAAGCAACTGGAAAAACTTTGAACACCTCTATCCTAATATGTGGTTAGAATGGATGATTGTACTGAAAAATATAAATTGTCAAAATTAATGCACTAAGAGGGAAAACCCTCCAGAAATCAATCACCGGAGATGGAGGAAAGAAAGGCCCAGCCCCTGCTTCAAGTAGGAGTGCTTCAATCGCTGAGAAGAGGCTGTTCTCATGTTATTTTAACTGTTCCACAGCACTGAGAAAAAGAAAGGCTCCCCAGTTCTTCCTACAGTGTTAACAGAGTCTGATACCAAAACACAACAAAGGTGGTACAATGAGAGAAAACTACATCCCAACCCCACTCTGTGTTATAAACCCAACAGCCATAAGCAAATTACAAGCAAAGTGAACTGAGTTACATGCTAAGACACGTTTTACGCCATGACCAGAGGAGGGTCATGGTGTGTGAAGGATGCAAGAATTGTTCAATGTGATACGTCATCAGCAAAGAAGCCAAAGGGAAAGACAGCACCTTGAAAGAAGCTCAAAAAGCCTTGCAGGAGAGGGGGTGTGGGGGGGAGTTACTATCCATTCCCAAGAGAAACTTTTAGTAAAAGAGAAAGAGGAAGCTTGGTTAAGTTGGTCTCAAGCCAACAGCCAGCATTGTGCTTAAGGGCTGAGAGCTGGAAGCGGTCCCACCCCAGTGGGGAAGAAAGCAATCACTACCCTTATGTAATGCGGTTCTTAAAGCCATGGCCAGTGGAATGAGGTCATAAGTCAGAAGCACAAGATTAGGAAGGAAGAGGTAAAATTATTATTCGCAGATAAAATTTATTTATACCTAGAAAATCAAAACAATCCATTATTAGGAATAATAACAGAGTCACTAAGGTAGCCGGTCAAAAAATCACACAAAAACAATCCCAATATCTTTCTTAAGGATCAACAATAACCTGTGGGAAAATACTAGAAAATAACTTCCTTTCATATTGCTCCATCTTTTCCTAATAAGAAATGTGCAAGACAATACTACATGTAAACTATTAAACACAGTAAGAGGATCTAAAACTCTATGACTCTCAGTTTGAATAGGTTTGATGAATCAAGATGTACTGAGACTAAGCCAGCCCAATTGAAGACAGAAAAACAGGGCGCCAACAGTCCTCCAAAGAGACCCCATAATTGAACAAAAGGATTAAGGTAATAAGGTTTAGCCTGAACTACTATAATTAGCACTACACAGGAAGAAACAATATCCAATTGCTACTTAAAACTAAGAAATTGAAGTCTTGACTTTGCTAATAGTAAAGAATAATTAAGACATTCACTAAAGTCCTGTTAACACCAGCTACCAATTTCAAAAGCTTAACCCAGGGTTTCCTCAAGTGTGAGGTGCGACTGTGAGAAGGTCACATTAGGAAGTGTTCACCAAACTCCCAAGACATTATTTGCTTTTTCCACCTTTTTTCTCTCATGACTGTGGCATTGGGTCAGCAGGTTGACCCAGCCATCTCCATTCACGCACGTCTCCATTCTAAAGGCTTTCTGCTTTCAGGCCTCACCAGTTGTGAGTGGCTGTGACAGGGACATCTCTGTCTCTGGCCCACAAAGCTGAAAAGATTTACTATCTTGCCTTTGACAAAATCTCTTTGCTGACCCCTGCACACTAATGATTAAATAGAACATGGGCTTATATTTGTGTTTTCTAGAATTTTCTAAGATATTGGAATTAAAGTCATTAACGAGTACATTTTCCAGATGAATTCCATTTTCTTCCTCAGTATTTCGATGCTGGTTATATCTACCATAATCTTATTAACCTCGCTACAGCAAATCATTATTTTGAAACCTCAAGTTTACCTTAAAAGCACAATCAGAAGTACACCGGTCTCGCAATATTTAAAGCTTTGTTGGTTTTAATTTCAAGCACACTGACAGATGTAACCCTCATAGATAAAAGCACTGGAACTGTACAGTCTCTAATTATCTGTCAGAGTGAAGAGGTGACCTGAGAGCAAACAACTTGAGACTCACTGGTTAAATAGTTATTTACTTCCTTAGAGTTTTCAATAATTTGTTTGAATTTCCACAAGAATGTTTATATTCTTGGGGACATTGCTAAGAGGATAGTGTCAATAAAGGAAGAAGACTTGCTTTAAAGTTAAAAATCATCACACATCACAGACTAGAACCTGAAGAGCACCCAGTTTCACAAACATGGTCATATTCCAGTGAGGAGGGACCCCCAAAACTTCCAAATAGCCTGCAATCGTATCTTCAAAGGGAGAGCAGCCTACAGAGAGGAGGAGGCGGTGCGGCAGCACGTGGAGAGCCGATGCAGCACGCCCTCTGTGCTCACACACCCCCAAGCACGGGACAGGAGGGGAGGCCCCAGGTCCTGGAGCTGCCGTGCTCTGTGAACAATGCAGCACAGATGAGAAGGGTGTAAATTCTTGAATGAAAAGTCGCCACAGAGGTTATCTGCTACATAGACAATAGCGGGGGTCACTGGGCAGTAAATGGCAAGCGAGTGATGAAAATTACTGTAATCAGCATCGCCCTCCCACAGTCAAACCGAAAATAAAAGCTCTGGAGCCCACTGTGGGACTAAGAAGGGAAAGGGGAACAGTAGGCACCAATCTGCGAGGGGCATCTCTTGGAGAGCTCCGCGGGCACTGGGGACAGAGGGTGACATAAGGTGCCCAGCACCTGTCAGACTCCTGGTAAAAACAGATTAGATGGATGGGTACAGGCTTCACCTTCGTAAGGCCTGGGGCCAGGAGAGCATCGGGAACCTCGTAAGCACTCTGCAAATGCTGCATGAAGGAATCACCAAACGGGCAAGGTAAGTGGCTCGGGCAGTGAAAGTTTGAAGAGACAGAGCAGGGGCCAATGGAAAAAA